CAGCAGAGTATTCGCCCTGCTCTCTAGTCTGGATGACCCTCTTGTAGTTTCAGAACATCACCCCTTGTCCTGTCCCAACACGCCCTGCCAAAAAGTCTGTCCCCAGCTTTCTTCTAGGCCCCCTTGAAGCCCTGGCAGCCCCCAGCAGGTCTCCCCAGCTGGAGCCTTCTCCTCTCAGGCTGCCCCAGCCCAACTCTCTCCTGCTGGGCTCCCAGCAGAGGGGTTCCCCCCTTGGGGCATTGCTGGGGCTCCTCTGGCCCCGCTCCAGCAGGTCCCTGGCTCTCCTGTGCTGAGGACTCCAGAGCTGCCCCAGCACTGCAGGGGGGTCTCCCCAGAGACTAGACATGAGCTAGACTATGTCACACACATACACAAAACCCACAGAGCCCTTCTCCACACATCAGACCATCACAGATGTTTCCACCATCACAGATGTTTCCACCAAGACACGGGATGTGGGCTGGGGGAACAGCTCTGATCCACTCATACTGCCAGCTCGGGCTCCTGCTTGAGAGGAGCCTCTGTCACTCCTGGAGGGTGGCACAGAGGTGAGGGCTGGTGTTTGCACTGGGGACCAGTTAGGCCATAAAAACGCTACCGAGGAGTCCTTGTTGTTCATCAAGTGTGCTGCAGCCATTTGTTTGGTTTAATCAGAACCAGAGCAACTGCACCAGTCTCTCTCCTTGCCTCAGAGAGCTGTTTGGCAAGAAAACATTTGTTCCAAACTTGATGTAGAAAGCCAGTCCTGCTTGCATCATCCTGAAGGACTAAGCAAGCTGTCTACAAGCCCTGAACAAAAACATAACCCAAAACAAAGTAGCACAAATTCACTGCTGGCTCTCTGACACGTAGATCACCGTCGGGGTGACAGAGTTGCACAAGCCAGAAGTAGATTTACTTCCTCCACACCACCAGCAAGCTCTTGGGGAAATCACCCTGGCCAAAATCAAGTGTGGCTACTTGGCTGTTCTCAACAGCATGCTGGGGAATTTTCCTGGATGCTGATGTTGGAATTCAACACGTGGCAAGCTGCCATTGCCCGGTATCAGATAAATTAGGGATTTTAAAACTGGACAGTTGTTTTAAATGGATATTGTTCATTTATGAAGCCAAGAATGGGATGTTTGCCACAGTCCACGACAAGCAACCCTCTTGCCACTGGAGTAACTGTTTGAGGGGGTTATACCCAACCCCTGCCTCCTCTCTGTGCACAGGAAAGCTGGAAGCAGACACAAGCAGAATAATTTGGGAAACATCAGCACAGGCAGCTCCCGGGAAGTGCCAAGTGGTGGCAGAAAAGCTCCCCAGGGGAGGCCAGGAACAAAGAGGAAGATGGGGAATGCATGAGACCTAAGAAGGGGCTGGAATTGAATTCAAGGGGCTCCCTCTTTTCTTCCTTTCAAAGCCCTCAACCAGCCACTGAACGCCGTGGGACAGGGAACAGCAGCAGGTCAGGGAAGGCAGGAGGTGACCTAAGCCAGAGACATCTCAGCAGTCAGACCAGGGACAGGGAGTAAAAACCTGCAAACCCAAAGAAAAAAAACTCCCTGAATCCAAAGCTAAGCTCCTCCAGCCTTCACAATTAGGGTAAAATACATACAGAGAGAAAAAGAGAGCAGCATGTGAGATCCAGGAGCCTCCAGGCGCTTCCGGAGAGATCTCAGATAATGCAGCAGGAGCTGCACAACCACTTCAACTAACCCATGGTAATTGCTCCTGTGGAGATGGAGCTCCCTGCCCTCCTTCTGAGAATGAAAGGAGAAATGGAACACAGAGTCACATGAAACAGGAGATGGGGAGGAAAAAAAAGCCTGGAGTAAGCACAGAGCACCTTAAAGGCAGGTGCCAGGTTTGGTCCTGCCACCCCAGACAGAGAGGGAAGGAGGCTCTAGGCCCAGACTGCTCCACACCAGGAACTACCTGTCCAATTATTCTGGAAGCAGCTTTTTTCCCAAACAGGGCTTTGATATTTTGGACTGGACCACACTGATCTATGGGGGCGTGAAGGGAGATCTATCAGAGTGTGCCAGAACACCGTGATCCACTGGAGCAAACTGGTTTTGTTAAAGCCTCCTGATTTGGAGGCTTGCTCCTGTTTGGAGTGGTGACATCAAAGCCTCATCCTCACACACCTCCTGTGTTCTGTCGGGCACTTTGATGGAGATGAACAGAAAAGCAATTAAGTTTTCCACTCTCCTGAATCACCCTCGTAAAAAAAACAGCAGCAATTTGCTAATCCAGTTACCCAATTTAAAGCTGTTTCGAAATTTAACAAAAAAAAACACAACACCAACCAACAAAAGAAAAAACAAACCAAAACACCAACTCAAACCACAACAGAAAAAACAACCGAGCACTTTTTTTATTTCCTGGAAACCTGGCAGCCTTTGAGGCAGGCAGATTATAGATTGGGGCTAAAAGCAGCCTGCAAAAAGATTTGTGGATAATCTTCAGCTGCTCTCTGTATCCACGCCAGTCAAACATCACTCCAAGGGAAGGACACCCCTGGGAGAGGCACCATGGGAGCACCCTCAGCCAAACCAGGCCATGCCAGTTGGATGCCAGCTGCACCAGGCTGGGCTTTGCTACAGCTAGAGATCAAGTCAAGACAGAACCAACCTGGCAAAATCACCAGTCTGTCAGGAGAGAAATTCTGCCTAATAACCAACCAAAACCTCCCCTGGGGCAACTTCAGCCCATTGCCTCGCGTCCTGTCACTAGTTCCTTGGGAGAAGAGACCAACCCCCATCTCACTCCAGCCTCCTTTCCAAGGGCCCAATCACCTCCCTGTTCCTGCTGGCCACACTAGTGCTGATCCAGGCCAGGCTGCTGGTGGCCTTCTTGGCCACCTGGACACACACTGGCTCATCTCCAGCCAGCTGGCCCTCAGCGCCCCCAGGTCCTTTTCTGCCAGGCAGCTTTCCAGCCATAGTTGTTTAGGCTGAAAAAGAGAAGGCTTAGCCAGGCCTGGTGACACCACTTGTATGAGCCCAACCCACCAAAGTTCAAGCCACAGGAATACAGAAGACAGCATCAAGAGCCAACAGGCTGCCCAGGGAGGTGGTGGAATCACCATCCCTGGAGGTCAAAAAATGTGCAGATGTGGCACTCTGGGACACAGCTTATTGGTCATGGCAGTGCTGGGTTTATGGTTGGACTTGATGATCTTAGAGATCTTTTTCAGCCTTACTGATTCTCAGAGACCACGATTCAAGCCCCACTGATTTAAAGCCACAGGGCAGTGGGCACTACCAGACCACTTGGCAGGACGTGTTCTTTACCACCCAAGAAGTTCCCTCTTGCTCTGTGACCACCTGCCACCCCAGAATCTGTTCCCCTCAGCCCTGTGCCCAGCCAGAGAGCCTGTGGGTTTGGACTTCAACTCCTGCTGTCAGAGCAGTGGAGCTACAGCACATCTCAGACATGCCCTGCGACGGGCGGTGCCTTCAACACTTTCCTTCCACCCCTCTCAACTATTTACCTCCCTCTCCAGCCTGTAATAACTGGAACAGTGGCTGAGGATGAAACAGAACCCGCTCCAGTCCCAGGCACACGCTGTTCTGAAAGTCTCACCTTGTTTTATGCAAGTTAAACTTCACAGGAGTATTGATTAATTACATAATAAAATAGGCATGTGCTGAGTTAATACAGAGGGCAGCTACCAATTTTACACGTGGCAAGACTGAATTCTTTTAGCTAGCATTAAAAAACTGCTTGTTAAATGAGTTAGTTGATTTCAGTAGCAATGGTCCATCTGTCTGCTAGAACAGTGCATCTCCAAGCAGGTACTGAAGGAGCAATTCCCTTTGTCAGTCAATAGTTGCATCATTTCCTATCACCTGGACTGGACACTGGGGAGGCCACAGCTCCAGCACTGGGGTCAGGTTTGGGCACCACAGGGTAAGAAAGACCTTGAGGGGCTGGAGCAGGTCCAGAGAAGGGCAACGAAGCTGGGGAGGGGTCTGGGGAACATGGCTTGTGAGGAGCAGCTGAGGGACCTGGGGGTGTTGAGTCTGGAGAAGAGGAGGATGAGGGGAGACCTTCTGGCTCTCTACAACTCCCTGACAGGAGGCTGGAGCTAGGTGGGGGTCAGGCTCTTCTCCCAAGGAACCAGTGCTAGGACAAGAGGCAATGGGTTGAAGTTGTGCCAGGGGAGGTTTTGATCGGATCTTAGGAAAACTTTGTTTCCTGACAGAGTGGTGAGACACTAGAGCAAGTTGCCTGGGGAGGCGGTGGAGTCCCCATCCCTGGAGGGGTTCAAAAACCCTGTAGATGTGGTCATGGTAGTGTTGGGTTGATGGTTGGACTTGATGATCTTAAAGGCCTTTTCCAACCTTAATGATTCCATGATTCTCCCTCCCAGGTCCACTTACCACCACCACCCACTGAGCAGCTGGGCAAGAGAGAAGACAAACTCTTCTCTGCTTCTCCCACGTGCAGCTCCAGGAAACGGAGACAAAATCCCAGCCTGCCCAGCACCTGCAGCTCACCCTTAACACACCTACACCTGTCTGTACACAGCAAATGAGTAATAACTACTAGGAATATGGAGAATTGATTCATGGCTGAGTATTCATGCAACCAGGAATACCTGGGTGAGAACGAGCTGTCTGGGAAGTTCCTGGGAACTCGGGTATCAAAATGTTATCTGCTGCTAATCAGACAGACTGGAAAGCAGAAACAGCCCATGAAACTTCTGTGGTTTCAGCAGCAGATGGACAGTTCTATTAAAAGTTTAAAGACTGGTTAGCAACCTCTCTAAGTAAGCAGCTGAAAAAAGCAGGTGAGGCATTGCTCTTAGAGGTACAGGCAGCTAGGAGCCCAACGCCCGTGCCCAAATTCTGCTTAGGTCAGCGTTTGAGGTACTGCCACAGCAAGTGCTCTCATGAGAGGCCCTTGTCAGCCATGGTTCTGCACAAGATGATCAGCAGATTACTTGTTGATGAGAGGACAAGGCACCCTGGCATGTTTTGGGCACCCTCAGGTATGTTTTTCAAAGGTTAAGTGGTTAGCAAGGCTGAGAAATGCTGCCCTATATAACATGTTTTCCAAGAAAACGTGGAAAAATCTTGAACCTGAACACTGGTATTGAAAACAAAAGCAAAGCACACACTGGTCCATAAACCAGATGTGTGCTGTCCAAAGCACAGCACCAGTTCCTCCTGCCCAAGGCAAGAAGCCTGTGAGCTGTTGCTCTGCTAGAACACTAGTTCAGCTCGTGGTTAGGGCTCCTCAGCCCGTACCACAGCCCTGACTCTGATTCAACCCTTAGGAGACAAACTTCACTGAAACAAAATGCATCTTTTTCAACCCTTTATCAGTGTACCTTGTATTTATCATCCCCAAGTGAACCCGAAGCACCAACAGCCACCCAGAAGGCAAAGACAAAGCCAAGTGTACAATACTGTTTGTTTTCTTTCTCCACTCTCAATTTCTGACTCATGTGTAGAAGTCACCCTCCAAGTTTCCATTTCATAGGATGGTTTGGGTTGGAAGGGACCTTAAAGGCCATCTAGGCCAAGCCCCCTGCACTGGGCAAGGACATCTGCAACTAGAGCAGGTTGCTCAGAGCACCATCAAGTCTGACCTGGAATGTCTCCAGGGATGGTTCCTCTACCACCTCTCTAGGCAACATGGGCAGGGTCCCACCATCCTCATAGTAAAGAGCTTCTTCTTAATGTCTAATCTGAATCTGTCCTTCTCTAATGCAAAAATATTGTCCCTTGTCCTGTTGCTACACGACCTTGTAGCCAGTCCTTCTGCAGCTATCCTGTAGGCCCCTTCAGACGCTGGAAAGCTGCAGGAAGGTCTCCCCAGAGCCTTCTCTTCTCCAGGCTGAACAAGCCCACCTCTCTCAGCCTGGCCTCCTAACAGAGGGGCTCC